ATATTGAGGGAATAAAGGTAGCACAGGAAACAGTATTGAGAAGCTTTGCAGACTACGTTGCTTACGGATTAGTGTGGGTGTAGCATGACATGATCTGGAAAGTCAAGTGTGTGAGAAATAAAGGCATCACTTAGAAGCAGAACATATGGAATAAGGACAGGATAAAATCACACGCTATAGGCAAGTGTGAAATGCTGAAGTACTTGAAGATGGGGAAAAGATATATTTCAAATGTTATGCAGTAGCAATAATCATAGAGGTTTGGAGTGACAAGAATGTGGCAAAGAACATTTTGAAGTACTTGTTTGGAAATATATTACTAAATTATGACTGTCTTGCTACGGTCAAGAAAAGACAAGAAGCAGTCTGAATTTTCTTAAGGTGAAGGACACATTTCTATAATCCTTTCTTTGACCTTTGAAAGCTACCATATCCTCAAAGCAGTATTGTATCCTCACTCCTATCTGACATGCGTATCCCATGAGGTAGTGCTGGGGAAGAGAGGTTGCTGTTCAACCCTATACTATGTCCAGTTGGTCAATAATCTCTTTTGCACATTGGGTTTATTCCTGGGATTGGCTTTGCTTTGGAATGCTGACGTAGCAGCTGTGGCCAGGAATGCAATGCTTTTGCACAGTTTCAGTTAATATGGCAGCTGCTCCCCTTCTTGGATAAAACAGATCTGACTACCACATATGTCTCAGTCACACCTAGACTGGATCACTGGAACACATGGGGCTACTGTTAAAAGTGTCTGAAAATGTTAGCCAGTGCAAAATGCAATGGCTACATTGAAATCTGAAGCCCATTTTTCAGAGCATACTACTGTATTATGATTTTGTTTCATCTTCATTGGCTTCCAGTTCATTTCCAGACTCATTTAAAGTGCTGGTTCTTAACTGCCAAGGCCTCAATGGTTATGGATCAGGAAATCTGCCACTCTCTATGCACAATATCTCAACTGCACCCCCAGAGGCTTGGAAACAGGGCCTTCTGTTGTATTCACAGGTTGTGCAGCTCACTCCCTCTCACTTTGGGCAAGCTTTAGGCAAGACCTTTTTTCTTTAGGAACCTAGGAAAATGCCTTATACTAAGTCAAGCCAATGGTCCATCTAGCTCAGTGCTACCCATACCAACTGAGCTATCACCTTTCCCATAATTTCACTTAATTTTTTAGTTTAAAATGCCTAACTCCCCTGTGGATCAAGCTGTGTTTGGTTCTGCTTCTTTTTTTGTATTTAAATCGATTTTATTAGAAGCCATATGAATTGTAAGTTTGTTTGCAGCTCAAAAATTATATAAATAACCTTATAAGATAGATAAACTTTTATGCAACGTTGCCAGATGGCAGCATTTCACTCCTCATAAGTGCATTCCAATTAATAAATACCCCAAAAGGAATCCGTATGAATCTGTATGATCTATTATTTCACTTGCTTCCTTCTACAAAATTGGTATTGATTTGTTTGTTTATTACTGATAGAGATTTTCAGTAATGACAGACAATGATACCCTTCCTAAATTATATCCATGTAGCATTTTTTTAATATCAAAATTTAAAATTTAGTAACTTTTACTTCCTGGAATTCAGCTTTATACCAGAAAGGACCTGGAGACCCAGTGAGACCTGAATATGGTCCTGATGCAGGGAGGAAAAATAGAGAAGAGTCACAAGACGTAAATTTACTTGCACACTGCATTAAAGCAGCTGCGTTGACTAAATGAAAACATGCCATTTTTTTAATTCCAGCAGCCATTTGAATAGAAGACTGGTTTTATAGTTTTAGCCGATTTTTACCTTTTCTGTATTTTATCTCTTGTACACCACTTGGAGGCCATAGTAGTTAAGCAATATATAAATTGTTTAAATAAACAAAAATAAGAAATAAAAATATTTGTACCATGCCAAGTAATTAATTTGAACTACTTGTTATTGGCATGTCTGAAACTGTAGTTAAGAAGTCAGTAGTAAGATCTGAAGAATTATTATTTGTTCAAGTGAAAGAAAAATGCCTACTGTGTTAAAATTGCTGTTTAAACTGTCTGCACTCCTGAGTCTTCATACTGTGAGTCACTTTAAGTTCCCTTGCCAACCATCTTAAATGGGAAGAAGTGTTTCAGCTGCCGGGTATATTACAGAAACTTCAGAAAGTGTATTCTCTCTCTTCTTTATTAATCTGTGCATTTGTCCTCCAATAATTTATGTATGAAATATGTTTCTGTTGGTGACATTGTGCCTATGACTTAGTTGAATAGCCACCATGGTCTTCAAAATGTGTATTTTAACTTACAGCAAAATCATATGAACCCTTTTTCAGAAGTCTCATTGTGTCCCAATTACTCCATAGTAGATGTGCTTAGGATTGCACTAGGAGCCACTTCCCTCATTCCTGACAAAAAAACTCTTCGTATTTCCATTATGGATTGTTCACATTTTTTCCATAACTTTTGTAGGATTTCTGAAATCACATGGTAAATGTTCCTCTCAGAGCTGTAACTTGCCTTTCAAACAGGATAGAAAAAGGAGAGAGCCTCTAGAGCAGGCATGTCCAAAGTCTGTTTTGGGGGCCTAATCCAGCCTGTTGGTCAGTTTAATCCGGCCCCTGTGGCAGTTTATATCCAGGGGTAAAATCCTAAAAAAAGGTCAACAACTTTGGTTGGCCCTTCACTTCATCACATCTGGCCCTCTTTGAAAAAAGTTTGGACACCCCTGCCCTAGAGCAAGGATGGGACATCTATAGTTCTCCAGATGTCATTGGACTCCAGTTCTCATCAGCTCTAGCCAGAATGGTCAATGATCAGAGATGATGGGAATTATAGTGCAACAGCTCATGGAGAGCAACAGGTTCCACACCACATAATTAGAGTAACAAATTGGTATTGAATATATCAAATGATACAAATGATATCAAAGATGAGAATGAAGTGACATAACATCAAAAGCTGGAAAAGTTAATTGATGAAATACACTTCAAATTGTACAATAACAAGCAGGCTTGAATGCTGATTACTAGAAGACAGCACACAACAATTCAATTTATAAGCTTCAAAAAAAGAGGAGCTGATGGGTAGGTGGCTTGTAAGAACGAATTTCCAATCAGAATTTCAGCAATCCATATAGCATGATCTACAGACTGCTATATGCTAGAAGAGGCTTCCTCAACCTCAGCCCTCCAGATGTTTTGAGACTACAATTCCCATCATCCCTAACCACTAGTCCTGCTAGCTAGGGATCATGGGAGTTGTAGGCCAAAAACATCTGGAGGGCCGAGGTTGAGGAAGTCTGTGCTAGAACAACTTCAGTAAAGGTTCTGTAGCTTCCCAATGCTAGCAACCCCAGACTATTTCTTAAAGCATATTTTGTAATATTATAAAATATAAAATTAACTGCATCTAAAAGTTAGAAAATGCAGAGTATTGTGCCTGGCTTACATATGTACACCTGTTACTTAAATTTTTAAACCAGTAGTTTAAAAAAAAACCCATTGCCATCTGTTGCTGTAATGTGTTAAGTGGCCTGCATAAGATTGTGGGTTTTGCAGGCAAAAGGATATAAACATTTTTTTTTTTTACTGATAATCCAATCTTAAAGTCATGATTTTATTTCAAGTACTTTTGAAGGCAATTCTTGAGCCAGGACTTTTCTGTCCAAAAATGGATTAGTAATATGAAGAGCTAATATTTCTTATTTGGGTTATCTTTTCTACATTATTTCCATAGAGACATTCTAAGTAGCTAACCTTGGAGAAGAGTGTATCTATTCTTAGGATTTTTTCCTCTAATTTCCTCAGTATTCATCTTTAATTAAAGATTGTTGTCACAGGATTAGGCAAGAGATAGCTACTAATTTAGCACATAGCATTTTCATTCATGTGTTACCACAATCTTATTTGACAGACATAGTAGTGTAATTTGTAAGAGCTTTTTTATATAACAGATATGTCTATCATTACTTTGGAACTGGTTGCTAGACATTGAGCTGTAAATATTGTGGATTGGTCCCTTGTCTGGCTCTAAAAAGAGGAGCACATCAGATTTAACTGTGAAGGCTAGGGGAATTACAGTGAAATGGTGATGTAAGTCATTCACGGTTTAGGACCACAGTTCTTGTAAGACTGTCTGTCTCCATATGTACCTACCCAAATATGAATGGAGGGCCACCATTTTAGGTGTAGGTACTGCCACCATAGGGACGCGGGTGGCGCTGTGGGTAAAAGCCTCAGCGCCTAGGGCTTGCCGATCGAAAGGTCAGCAGTTCGAATCCCCGCGGTGGGGTGCGCTCCCGCTGCTCGGTCCCAGCGCCTGCCACCTAGCAGTTCGAAAGCACCCCCGGGTGCAAGTAGATAAATAGGGACCGCTTACTGGCGGAAGGTAAACGGCGTTTCCGTGTGCTGCCCTGGTGCCGGCTCGCCAGAGCAGCTTTGTCACGCTGGCCACGTGACCCGGAAAGTGTCTCCGGACAGCGCTGGCCCTCGGCCTCTTAAGTGAGATGGGCGCATTGCCACCATTTTAAGTGTAAGAAGTAGGTACCAGAGAACGGGCCATCTCAGTGGTGGCACTCCATTGTGGGAAATGCTACAAATGTGAAAAAAGTTCAAAGACCCAAAAGCCAATGGGGATAATTAAATAAATTACCATATATACTGGAGTATAAGCCAACCCAAATATAAGCCGAGGCTCCTAATTTTACCACAAAAAACTGGGAAAACTTATTGACTCGAGTATAAGCTGGTTCACCACACCACAAACCTGGTGGTGGCGGCAGCAGCAAAGGCAGAGGAGGAAGGAGCAGCCCGAAAGGAACATCACTCGAGTATAAGCCGAGGGGGGCTTTTTCAGCATAAAAAATGGGCTGAAAAAGCCAGCTTATACTCAAGTATATACGGTATATGGGGAAGTGTGCCTGTATTAGCAAATTGTGGTTAGGCATTTGTGCAATGTAAACTGAAGAAAGTTGAGTTAAACTTGAAAATGTAAATGACAATCTACCTTCCTTGCAGAAGCATGATGGCCACTTCACAGTTATCCAGCTAGTTGGCATGCTACGTGGAATTGCTTCTGGCATGAAATACCTCTCAGATATGGGCTACGTACATAGAGACTTGGCAGCTCGTAATATTTTGGTCAACAGTAATCTCATGTGTAAAGTCTCTGATTTTGGATTATCGCGGGTATTAGAGGATGACCCTGAAGCAGCTTATACAACAAGTGTAAGTTTCTTTTTTATTTCTAATACAAAAAGACAATTGATGCAAGATTTGTATTTCTCATTTTCTTTTTACAGTAATTCTTAACTTCTGTCTCGATAATGTTTAGATTGGATGCTTCTTGTATTAAGCTATGTTTGTGACTTGTTATCTTTACTGCAAAATGGGATATTTCAAATGCCATTTTCTTTATCACGAAAGTACATCCGAAGAAGGTCCCTACTCCCATCTAGCCAATTTTATTTTGCTCTTTTCATTTTCTAGGGCCAGAGTTCCCCATAACCTGAATTTATCTGTGATAATTGGAATTTTATTTTTGAACTACATAAACTTACTATCTAGATATTATTATTTCATATCCTAGAATCACCACAATAACAAAGCAGTGAAACGCTTGTGCTTCCATTATTTAGGCATGATTAGGTTTATTTCAGATATCTTTTAAATTTGGAAATAAGGAATTACCTGAGCACGATGTCGTTCATGCATTAGTTTGGTAATTCAAATTTTCCCTCCAATTCACCTTGATTCTATTTGTTGGAATATTACCTAATAACTTATGTAATGTTGTTCCTTCATTTTTTTTATATGAAGGCATGCAGTACTGTAGAAAACTGGTGTAGGTCATGGATGCATCTTAATGGAAACTCACTCTAGCATTCCCAAAGACTCTGCAACTAGGTTTATAATTCATACCTATACTGTGTATGAAAATTTCATTTGTTTCGTTAGAACTGTAGTACCAAGAATGGTCATGGTGATATCAGTTTGGGGGAGGGAAACCCCCTAAACCCAAGAAATTAATGGCTGTCAGAATCTATGTAATATTTGGAGTATTAAAGGGAAGATTCCAGGCCACTGGAAAAATACAGGCTAAGCTTCCTTTCTAGGCCAGGGCCTCACCTGGGATAGAGGCATTAATGTGTCAAAAGGTGTTGATGATCAGCATCTAAGAGGAATCCTTGAGCCTGGGCAAATCCAAGCAGGGGTGTGTGGGGAAAGAGAAGACCAGAACCATCTTGACAGACTGGCTGAAGGGAGGCTGGAGAGATGCCTTGGACTTGAGTGCTGCACTGCTGTGGGGAACAAGCCTCTCTGACTATGCTGTAAGATCTGAACTCCCTCCATATAAATCCAGGTGTAAATAAATATGTGAATAAATCATATTTCGTAAAGCCCCAACAGCCTCCACCTCATCTTGATTCTCAGCGGAAACATGACCCCAGGATGAGTGCCTGGAACCTCACTAGAATCTTGCTACTGCTCAGCTGAGGTTGGGGATTGGTGTGTCGCCTTTGTAACAGTATATTCCAAGGTGCTCTGTAACCCTATGTTTTAGATTCTGAAGCCTTGCTCATTTCTATGGGATAAATGCATAACTGAATACAGCAGTATAGGGAATTTACTTGTTCCTTATAGGCATGTGGGCTGTGTACTTTTACACAGCTCTCCCAACCTTCAGGGGCTTTTCTATTTAACTGCAATAGAGAACACAGATCTGCATGCCTGTTGTGCACTCAGATCTGATCTGGATTCAGTTGAAATCAATGGGGAACCTTTTAAGGCAATACAGGTATGAAGGGGGCGACATGACTACATGCCTCTTTTTCTTTTGGCAAGGCACTTTAAGGCTGCCTGTTCTGGTGCTACCCATGGCTAGTTATTGCAAGGCACTTGTGGTATGATATGCTCAGGGTCTGCCTGCCCTGGGCGTGCAGGGAACAGGAGGTTCCCAGAGAAGGCACTCTCAAGTTTCCAGGCAAGGCAAGAGGCACTGCCGAATACATTGTAAAATGTAAGATGGTTTAGAACTGTTCTACCAAAAGGCGCTTTCTAAACAGCAAAAGAACAATATACCAACACTATGAAGACAACTATGTCTACACTGTCCAAAAATAATTGCCTGTGGAAGGCAGCGAATGCATTCTATGCCTGCGTGTGTACACACTTTGTGTTTGGAGAACTCTTACCTGTAAGACACCTCCCCCAAATGCCCAATCAACTAGTGGATTAATAGTCACTCTCATCATCAATCCACACTATTTGTTTTTGAAAACTGCAACCTCTAAATTGCAATATTGGCCACGCTGCAAGTGCTGTGTTTTTAAATGCTTTGCATCAACCACACATTCTTCAAACTCCTTAGAGCCTGTTCAGTTATAATAAATACAAATATCTGCTCACAGAAGAGGTCTAATCACATATAAGCAGTGTAAAATTAGAAAGTAATCATAACTTCTCATTTTTTTAAAAAAAACTGCACAAGATCTCTCAAGCCATAATTTTTGCTTATTACAACCTATGAACTTGTTTTTAATCTAATAAGAGTTCCGGAGCAGGTTAGAAAGTGCTTGATTTAAAGCACTGCCATTAGGGTGGGTGTGTTGTGGCGTGTTTTTTAAAAAGGCTGCTGCATGCCTTTAAAAAGCGACCTGAAAGGCAACTTTTCCCAGCATAGAGATGCAGAAACTGGAAAAACTTCATCTGTTACATTTCCCCCGTCATGCTGTTTCTAAAGCCGTAGGAGCCAATGCAGAATAAAAGATAACAACCATAGAGAAAGCAGATATCTAAGGAAGGAGACGTGATGCAAGATAGCCCAGTTGAGAACTAAGAAAGGAAGGACTTGGATGTAGCCTATCTTTCTAGTCATATTTCCATACACATTGGCTCCATTTGGTGGGTTAACTGCTAATATTTATTCTGTTTCTTTAGAAACCAGAAAGTATTTATGGACCTCATATTGAGTTTTATGGAAATAAGAGATAATTCTCTGCCTGGTGTCACTGAAGGCAAGACTTGTTTTAGAATATTAAAACAAAAGAGAAAGACTTACAAGCTAGTAACATTTTACCTGTGGCACTTGTGTGTCAGGAATGGATAAGGAAACATCCAAGATAACTGACAAATATGTTTTTCCCCATCAAAACACTGTTAATGTATACTGGAAGTTGCCAGGACAACAGCCACAAACACAGTGACATGTCTATTTTATGAACAGAAAGAAACTCTTATCAATACATAGAGAATATAAGTTCTTGAACCTTTCATGCTTTATCAAAATTCCTGCATTCTAAGAAGTAGATTAATTTCCTCTGTCACAGTGTTTGTTCCATCTACAAAGAAGATGAATAATGGCTGGTTCACATTGTCACCAAACTTGGTGTTCTCTGGTGCAATAATGTAGCAAACATTTCTTTTGCTTTTTAAAAATTAAATTTGCATACAGTATCTTATCCAAATTATCTATATGTGTTTCCTCCCAAATGCATGACATAGCATGTCATGTCGTGGTAAACACATAGTCTGATTCACGTGATTCTTGAAAAAGTAGAGAAGGATCTGTGAATTGGGAATATAGTTGTAGCCTATTATATTGCATGCAGAATAGAAGTTGCTCATACATACCATCGTGAAGCTGAGGCTCCAGTACTTTGGCCACCTCATGAGAAGAGAAGACTCCCTGGAGAAGACACTGATGCTGGGAAAGATGGAGGGCACAAGGAGAAGGGGGCGACAGAGGACGAGATGGTTGCATAGTGTTTTCGAGGTTACCAGCATGAGTTTGACCAAACTGCGGGAGGTAGTGGAGGACAGAGGTGCCTGGCGTGCTCTGGTCCATGGGGTCACGAAGAGTCGGACACGACTAAACGACTAAACAACAACAACAGCCCTGCCATATGTTGATGATTCCCATTAGAACAAGTGCTGAAATTGGCTTTTGGGGGAGCAATCCTGATTTCTCCTATCAGTACTTAACAGCCACTACTGGATCATTGTCAAAGGCTCAGTTGCATTTTCTTGCAAGCTTGTTAATTCAATGTACAATCTACCACATGCTGCATCTAAGTATTCAGAATGACAGTTTTATGTTAACAGGAAATTAACATGTTTACAAATCCATCATTTCAGTGTGCTGTATGTGAGCATTAATGAGATGTTCCCTTTTCTTTTCCAACTAGCCTGATTACCCAGCTAGTCTTTCTATAAAGCCGGGGTGGCTAATATGTGGCCTTCCAGATGTTTCTGAATTACAACTAGTATCAATCCCAGAAGCATGGCTAGCGACCACAGATGATTCAAGTTTTGATCAGCAACATCTGGAAGGCCACAGATTTGACACCCTTGCCATATAGATTCTGTACTGGGTCTTTTCCTGCCGCATTGAAAATGTGATATGCAGTACAATCCTATTCATGTTTACTCTAGTAAGCCCCTTTGAGTTCAGTGGGACTTTTGTTGTTTAGTCGTTTAGTTGTGTCCAACTCTTCGTGACCCCATGGACCAGAGCATGAAGTAAGTGGGACTTACTTCCAGGTAAATGTGTATAGGATTGCAGCTGTGATGCAGCAGAATGATCTCCAAGGCTGGGTTTACCTGTCACTAATTTTTATTGTGATGAACTTATATTAATTTAGAATAATGTTCATTATTAACCTTTCTGTCTAGCATTCTATAAAATTTTGGCTTGAATATATAAATACTAATAAAGTCACTGTCGGAACTGCTTTTGCAAGCATCTGCCACATGTATAGAACACCAAACCAATTAGTCTTTTGCTGTGTATGCACTATATGTACCTTTAAAGCACATTATTTCCTTCAAATAATTCTGGGCACTGTAGTATACCCCTCACAGAGTTACAATTCCCAGAAACCCTTAAATACGAGAATTCTTTGAAAGGAAAAACATGCTTTGGATGGGCTTTAAAAATGTAGTGTGTATGTGTCCTTTGATTGGGTTGCATACTAAAATGACATGCAGAACTTATAGTGTAAACTGATCACCAATATCAAACATCTGCAATCATTTTTCTTATTGCTGCTGACCTTCTTCAAGCTTATGCTTGCCATTCACACTAAAGTCCCTCCACAAATATGTTTGACCAAGTACCTGGTTCTACACAGTTCAGTCCCACATTAAATAATAAAAATGAGAACACACAGAAAGCCATAAAGATTAATATTTTAATATCACCACACCTGTTGTTTTGTATGACTAGT